AATCCGTACTGAATCGAAGGACATCTGGAAACTAAATCGAACTTCCAAGCCCCCTCTCTCCAGGATTTTGTGGGTCTTTGACCCCTCCACCCCTCTGAAATGTCCAATTCCCACCGTGGTGGGGGTATGGATGTTTTCTGGAACCACACAATCAAAAGTACATAACATTTTGATTCGTTGGATTGTTGAACTAACAGTTTACCTCTGTGTCGATGGGTAACTTTGTCATACATAAGCTTGGCTTCTGAGACCTAGGTTGGAAAAATAAATAATAAAAGTGAATAATGATAGGAATATGAAAACTTTGGGGAAAAATAAGTATTTTATTGCCTTTTCCTTAAAAATAGGCATTTGAGAAGTATAAAATCTCAGTTTGTGTCCACTAGGTGTTGTAACATTGTTCCCAGTTACTAAGGCCTGAAGGTACAATGTAAGTAGAAAACATCTCTGCATAATTTTGTTTATGAAACATTAAATAAAATCCTGATTGTATGTATTTCAAATGCCAGGCAACCAGGCCCGTGAATTGGGTTGCCTGAGGAATCCTAGGTTATGCATTTGAAATAATGTTTATCCATTAACTCCTTTGCAGATAAATTTTTTTTTGAATTAACTCCTTTGCAGATGCCAGTATTTTTTTCAAGAATGAGATAAACTGATCCAATTCTATCTGACCCTACTCTATCATTAAGTAACCTGAGTGTCTGTATCTGCTCTTCTCACAAATCCTTTTATTACCATTAATGATCACATTTCTTGCATAAATTTTCAGTGTATTGAAACCACGTCAGTGTCACAGCATGTGATGTGACACAGAGACAACAAAGGAAGTTGCCTTTTGCACGTGATCTGTGCCTGAGACCATTAATGGTCTTTGCTTTGTTCACTGATAAAAACATATCTCTCGCAGAATAATAAGGACTTATTTGCTAACCTGTCTTTTAAACTTCAACATTTTAATTGTAAATCTTGCTCCCAGAATAGGACAGTTTGTATGGTGAATTCTACTGCCAGCTTTTCAGATATGTATCAGCACAACCAGTAAAACATAGGGTAGTTACCATATTTCCTAGAATAATAGCTGTGNGGCTCGGGGATTATTTCAATATTGCCCAAAGGATATAATTGTGCCCTAAATAGTTTATTTTATTTCCTCATTTAGAATAATTAAATCATGTAAGCTGAAAAGGGCATTCTATAGTAAGTGTTCTCAACTTAACTGGTTTTCAATGTCGATATCTCTGGCATCAGAGCTTGAGTCCTCAATCAGTCTCTTGGCAGGGGAGGGAGGGGGTGAAGCAAAGGGGAAATATAGGGAGATAAAGGGAGAGGACAATGGTGAGAGCTAGGAGAGTGAGTTTGATTGTTCAAGGGGAGTGATTGGGTGGGGGACAAATATTCAATAGAGGTGATTATTTCAAAATACATGTAATATTTGAACCACAGTGGGGTGATTACATTTGAAGGAGGCGATTAATTGAGTGATGGCTATTATTCAAGGAATACAGGAGTTCAGCAAAAGTCAAAAACTGCTTCAAGCAGAGACTTTCCAGGCATCAATTTAGGAAGACAGCAAATTCCAAGCATTAGTTTACCTGATCAAAACTTCCCCTTCAGTTTCCCAAGATTGACTATTATTTGACTGGTAAGGGGAGACTTTTTCTTGATTTACAACAGGGACATTATTGGTTTACTTACAGGTATGCTTTGGCATGTAACTTTACTGTGACGAATGTGACAGGTCCACATACCTCTCCATGTTGCTTAAAATAATTAGTCAAGTCCTCCTCAGTAGTGGAAGCAGACACACCGCCAACAAAAATCTTTTTTGTTCTTGTAACCATCTGAAAGAACACATTTGATATCAATAATTACTTATGGCGTATACTTTATACTTGAATACAGATTCATGTGCCAGAGCTGGTGTTACACAACCAAGGACAATTGACTGTATAAGTGCTGTATACAGAATATGAATGAGGTCATGAACATTGCATGAAGTCGAGGAATGATCACTGCAGTTAAGTACAACATAGTTTTACATAATTATATAGTGGCTAATGTGTTTCACTCTAAAGTGAACAGTATTTGCAGATAACTGTCTATAGGAATTCAGTTTAACTGTATTGGATTTCATATGCTTTTTGAAGCCAAACAATACAAATTGCAAAACCAAATGATAAATTCCCTTGGACAAAGTGTCGTGTTGCAGAAAGAACTGATCATAGGTTAAGTTTGGCAGAGATGTATCTTATGATGTCGTTTGTGTCAGATTGCCAATAACTTGAACTTTGATGGTTTTTGATCATTTACTTTAGACATGAAATTTCACACCCAGTCAGACTACAGGTTGTGGACCTTTTTCAGCACATTTCGGACATGATCATCCTTTTGTTATGTAAAGGGAGGTTACTCAGTCATTTTAACAAAAGTAAATGAGCGATTTATTGGTAACTTTTTCCAACAATTTTACATACCATACAGTCAAACTTAAGACGGGATACAAATATTTTATAAAGGTAACCCATCCAAGACATTCTTGTCAGCCATTCAAGCAAAAAGAAGTCATAAATTGTTGCTTCAGATGACTAACAGATTTGATAGCATGTAATTATATGGAACATTCCACACTTTCAGTTGCTTCACTAATATGTTTGATCTTTAGAAAATCTCAAGGCAAACATTATTTTAGCCATTTTACTGTGCCTTTCAATGACATATGAACTCTGAAGTTGAAAACGTAACTAATGATTGCATTTTTGGCTGGCGACAATCATTATTATAAAGACAACAAAAGAACCTTTAAAAAAATGGATCAAAATCTACCAATCCCAATCCACATGCATGCCCTGTTAAACCCATTAAAGTAAACATCTGAGTCCTGCGAGGTTTGCTGAGGTGATGGACAGCAGCAAAACAGGAAACCATTGACTGAGTAGAATTCACCTGTTTTTGAAAGGCAGTTATTTTTGGATGCTTCAGTTTTCGTTCATTGTTTTAAATTTTTGGCTATTATTATTTTAGTCTTGTCTGAAAAATGAATGTTATAATGTGGTTATAAATGTGGCATTAACAAACACTAAGTGCCTGGATTGGTGGATCAGTGGACTGCTGGATTGGTGGGGGGTGTAGATTGCTAGGGGGTTTGGATTGGTGGGGGGTTTGCAGGGTGCAAAAACAACTTGAATTCCGACTTGCCCTTGGGAAAAGTAGCTCCCAAATATTGACTGTCCCAGGCAAGTCTTAGTTGGTTCTTTTTTAATGATTTAGTTGGCAGATGACTTGCCTGATGATCCCTCGCCCATTGGGCAAGTAAGAATGAAAAGGTGCTCGCCCAGAAGGAGAATCTACTTGTCCCGGACCACCAGATGGCACTTTTTTCTAGCCCTGGGTTTGGGCGTTGCACATACTGAGCTGTGCCCTGGCTACGCCCTAGCATTGTCTAAAAGCAAGTGCCTTATCGGAATGGCAGGTCAGAATCGGGTCAAGTCTTATCTATTGTTTGTAGCAGAAATTTGGTCACCACTGATGGGTATATAATCTCTTAAATAGTAAAATACCAAGATGAGAAAATAACTCCACTTGACTGATATGACACAAGTGTAGAAATGAATTTTGGAAAAAACTGTATAATAAGTGTTCTGGACATCTTAGCAGTCATGCAGCTGTTAGTCTTTTTCACAGGCATGTATAATTCAGAACATAATTTTGACATATACATGTAAATGCTCAGCTAATGTTGCCATGTAATAATACCCACTTCTTCTTTTTGTTGAGGTTAAAGGTTACATAGACACTGCCTGCTTTCCTCATAAAATTACTACAGCTAAGCAGGTTACAAGCATGTCGACAAAGGTAGCAAGAAAAAAAGATATTATGCAGTGTTACTGAAATAGCATATGACTAAGGCAAAATGAATTTGTAATTGAAAATGAGATTAGGTTGAATTGCAAAGACAATGCGACACCATAATGTCGCAGAAATGTTTGGTCTCAAATGCACACTATTGTCAATCACACAATAATGAGTAATGTAACATGAGTTATTGAAATGCAAGATGGCAAAGGTTTATGAATAATTGTGCCACAAAATGTCATGCAGCTATTGATAAAGGTGACCTATTCAATGTCTGCATAGAAATGATCTAGGGCAAACATGCAAGAAAAGCAAAATATATCCTGCAAAGTTATACCAAATACATAAAATGGTGTCATGTTATACAAAGTGTATTCTTTGAATAGATTGCAAGGAAGTCTTTCGTTTTAGCAAACCTATGGGAACAAGCTCTTTAGGCAGGAAGTACCTATCTCTTGTTCAACATTTTCATGAGCTGTGTTTCTCTACAGAGCATATTTACAGGCCCTGTAAACTACTAAGTACTAATACTAACAACTAAGTACTACTACTTGGGAAGTTTCTCAACCACTGAACTATTGTGGATGTCTTAAACAGAACAGCTCAATATTGCATCATTTGTTTATTTAAAATCCTCATTACAATACAAAACGAAACTCTAAACCCTTCATGAGGAAACAGCCCAGTTGCTCAAAATTGGGCGTAAAGCATACTTCAAAATAGAAGTTATACTGGCAAGATTTTATGAGCGATTGTGGAAAAAACATTGCGACACCTTCGTAGTTCTTAATGAATATTCATCATACGATTCTCTTTTTCAAAAACACGGGAAGCCTTCCCTTGTTTGCGCTGTCACACAACAAACCCCAGTTTCTACCCCGAGCTAAATCGAAAATTCGTCTTTGCGTACGATGTATCTTTCATAGTCAGCGAGCAGCTTTAAATAGCTTTTACAGGAAACAGCAATTTGAATCTATTTACTTTCGCATCAAATAGGTGTGAAGAAGGACTTTGAAACGACCTGATAAAAACAACCTGTGGTCTGATTTGTGTAATAAGTAGTTTATTTTATCGTTTTCTGGGGTAGGGAGATAGAGAATGCTTGATATGCGGTATTGCAAAGGATGTTTGTCGAATTGACGGACTCGCTGTGCTTGTGTGACATCCCCGCCGCTAGCCGTCCGTCACAAAATATGACTAATGAACAGACGCGAGGGCAATATTATTTCAACTCGTAAGATTAAAATGAAACCTGGTTTGTAGTGTGTCCGTAGATAAAAATAACCACATTTCAAAGATAATGTTCCCGCTTTTGTAAATAGAATAAAAAAAGTCAACGATTTCGATTCATGGACGTTCGGGTGGCAATGTTAGTTTGAGAAATATTTTCTTTTGAATTACCATGTCCAACCTGCGTTTTAGGCGCTCAAGACATGGCAGCTCGAGCGTTCACCCAGGAAAGCAATTATTCATAAGATCCTTTGAAACAATACAAAGATCTACAGTTTAGCCGGACTTGTTTTGACCCGAAACAAACATACCAGCCAAATAACAATCTTCCAAAGCGGCTTCAGACTCACGAAACGCTGTTTATTTAACAGAAAATAAATTGTGAAACCGGTCTACTCAGAGGTTGACATGCTAAAATACTATGTTCAAGCCACTGAGCGTGTGCGGTCGAACCAGCGGGACTCGGTTGAGGTGTCGTCAACGATTCTACAGAGAAAGGGTGGTAAAACACAGCGCGTGAACCGATTCACAGCTCAACTAGTAGCTTCCTTTGTTGTCTTTATGAGAATGGGCTTTGAGAACCAGTAATTATTCAATTTTTGCCGAAAACAACCAAGAAAAGAAACATTCTGCAATACACAACGAAGCGCTGCGGCGAAGCGGTGGTTCGGGAAAACCCCTAAAATATCGCGTGTTTGTGAGAATATAAACTGCGCTCTCGAGCGGTCGCTCCACTGTAGGAGGTAAGCGTGTTCTTCCAGTTCTTACACTCACTCGCTCAATTTATTTTGGAGTGGGCGTTGTGACGAAGCAAACAAGTTGGAGCAGCAATTACGCATACAATGTTGTTTTGAGCCGTTCTACTAAATCGACAGAATAAATTCGCTTCCCAAATCACGAGAACCCTATGACTCGTCGCGTCATGCGAGAAATAAAACTGCCCTTCCCGTTGACCGGAGTTGGTTTGCGAACGTTGAATTTCCGTTTGGGGCGGCCTTGAAAAGGCTAACGCTTTGCAAATTACGCTCAAAATGCTGACTTAACAGCGTGAAACCTTACGACATTACTTAGCAATGGAGTTCTTAAAGGCTCTTTACATCAAAAAAAGTGTCCGCTCACTGAAATCGAAAGTCGCTGCAACTCTGTTGTCAAGCAAACAATTCGAAATCCTGATCTTTTGATCGAGCTAGACATCACACGATATTTAAACACCCTTCCACGCTAAATTTAACGCACTTAATAGTAACAAGTTCTTACCTTTGGCTGAGGTCTCTTGGGCACGGCGACTTTGGGATCGATCTGCATGGATGTTAAAGATGTACAAGGTGTCAGCCTGCAGTTGGTTAAGTTCGCTACATTGAAGCTCGGAAAACATCTTTACATTACAATGGCTTAGTCGTGTGAATTAAATTTTCCCCAGACACGAACATCGCTTTAAGCGAAAATACGCCACATCTTCAGCTAAAAGACCATAAATTGAAAACTAAAATATGATAGCTAAGATATGGTAGTATAATCGGTTGTAGGAGTTTATTCGAAGCGTTAGATGCCCAGAGCACATCAGGATACGTACACGCCAGACGTTTGCAGATGGAGCGTGAAAATTGGTCTTGAGCGAATCCATCTCTATGGCGCGCGCAAAAAAATAATTACAAAATTTTCCGTACAAACCTTTTTGTGGTCGAGTTCATGTGGGCCTGCTTTCAGCACGGCATCGACAGCGGCTGGATCTTCAAAAGTTACAAACCCAAACCCCCTGCAATATGGATACAAAAACACAGAAGCCACCATCATTATGTTGCATATTGCATATTCTTCAGACATGCCATTTACAATACAAAGCTGATCGCGCTTGCTGTCTGAGCTGGAAGGAAGGAAAGGTGTTTCATCAGCAGCCTTATCATCATTTACCTTGATTGTTTAGTGTTCGGATCCCTCATAACTAAGCACTCCTTCAAGTCACCATACTTGCTGAAGTACGTCTGCAGTCCCTCTAAAACAGACAAGAAATGGACCGTTACGGAACCGTGAACTTAACCACAACCGATTGTTTGAAACGTGACTCATCCAGCTCATTTTGTCGCCGCAAAAACCAAACTCAATCGCCGAGTTTAGAGAAATATAATGTCCAGCGAATGCACTGGAACACACCGTTTTTACTGAGCTAAACAAATGCCTAACCTGCGGTAGTTTCCCAACTCAAGCCTCCGACGAACATCTTCCTGTTGGAGAAGAACAGACGGCAGATGAAATTTATGCTCACAAAAAATTTGCCCAAGTCACACCATCATTTCGATCGAAAGAAACACGAAGCCGGCTGGCTGAAATTCAGCTAACGGAAGCCAGCAACTTACCCTGGATCGTTCGGGAGGTCGACTTTGGAGGCTCCTGAGGGCTGTGGGCTATCCGCCTCCATTTTCCTACAACTACAACTAAACAAGAGATAGGCCAACGAATACCGACACGTGGATATTATATTCGGATTGGTTCGTGATGGGTGGTAATTTGGCGCCATTTGGATCTGGCACCTATGCTCGTGATTGATTTGAGCTGTGGTCTCTTGTGATTGGTCCACGAAAGTTTCCCTCACGACGCCGTTAGAAGCCATCATTGAAGTGACACATGTTAGAATGAGTCCCGCCTTTCTCTTTGTCCTGTACCAAGCCTGCCGAGTCTTCCATCCTTTCATTGGATTATAGTAATGAGACCCTTGAGAAACTGCCAATCAATTTGACAGCTGATTCGCAACGAAAGACGAATAAATTACCTCTGCAGACTAAGGACTTGGTTCTTTATCTTGCAAATTTTCAGTTCGAGGGGTCGCTCTAAGGACAATGAAGTCTGCATTAATTCGAGCTGCCGAATTTCGTCTCCATTTGACAGCACATAACGCGATCGCAACCAAGAACCGATTGCCAAAATTTGACGTCTGAACGACGTTAAATTAAAATAGTGTTTTGCAGATCTCCTGATTAAAACTTTCATGAGAAGGGCAAAATAAGCAATTTTGTTTACATTCTATATGTAAACACAGTGACACAAAGAAAACCCCAGGTGAAAAGGCATAAGATTTTGTTCTATTTTAGTGAAACTGGACATGAAGCAGTCTCTTACAGGTACCACGGGGTCACCTTATAAATGACTACTGCCAGAAGTGTCTGGGACTTATTTTATTCGCTATTCAAGGGAACTTAGTTTACAAGAAAAAAGTGAGAAAATACATTGTCAGTAACTTTGCGGGACAAAACATACAACGTCAACATAAAAACACTCTAGACTAGAGCGCGTAATTATTCTCTTGTGACAAGGGCCTTATTGTCACACAACCCAATAACAACATTATCTATTCACATAACGTGGTTTACTGGGAAAAATGAAGCCACCATAAATGAAAAAAGAGCATTCCAGGAGACTGTTGTCGGTTTGTAGACCTTGAGTGAAATCTCAATCGCTGCTGCTTGGTGCACCCGACATCTCCATGATCCAAACCTGCTGTCTCATTCACGCCCGCTTCCTATGTGTAATATCTCTCAGGCGTTCCCGAATGATTAGCTCTTCAACGGGGTTTCATCATAAACTTTGTGCTGAGTATATTTCCTCGACCGTCGTAAAGGACTAGATAAGAATAGGGTTTTTTTTTTTGAACCAGTAAAAAGCGTCTAAACACGCTGACTTGTGCAGTTTCACGGCTCGACAGAGCATAAGTTGTTGTTCAACTACAATAGCAGACATCCCTTTCTGGGAGCTCACAAATGAATATGAAAGGATCTTAATTGGGCCTCTGAACTGGGGTTTTTTTCACTCGATAGTTGCTCTTCAAAACCGACGGGGCGGGAAAGATTTAATTGAGCATATAAATGACAATGCAAACTCGCAACTGGTGGAAAGGTTGAATTTCCGAACCCTCAAGTACAGATGTTATTTATCCAGCTTGTGGTGTGTAGCGTTTACACTCTCCAAGGTAAAGCTGTTGATGGCGGTAACTTATGTGCAGAAAAATTCTTCTTTGTTTTATATTGTCGTCACACTGGTTTTCACAGTTGGTGATACAAACCAAGATATCACCACTGAACAAGAAACTGCTGAGGAACTGATCGAGGAATGCTAATGATCAGCTGGAACTGTGGCGGACCAAAGGATTGGTTATGCTCTGTACAAATTTTATAACTTTTAGTTGTGGGTTTAAGTGGAAAGCGCAAAATAAAGTTTTGAAGGTTTGGTTTTCCTCAGTGGTCTTTCACAACAGATGACGCACACCGAATTTAGCTGGAACAGCCACTGCGATGCTCCGGCAGTGGCGTGGCTTTTTGACAGTGGCTTGCCCTTAGTTTTTTTTACTTTAAAGTTCCTTATTTTTTTCTTTATCAAAATATCAATGAAGACTGCCCTGACACTTCTGATTTCAAAATAGAATTCAGGAAATCTTATGTAAACAAATATGGTTCATATCTCACGCAAAGATGGCTGCTATTTTAGTGACTGTTGTATTCTTGTTCGAGATGTTTTAGTTCCATTAAAAACCCACAGTCCCGGCTTTCACGATCGTTCGTCTACCCTTGCTCTCTCATGCTCCAAACATGCGAGATAGCTGTTGCGTATGCTTTGAAGTCGTGTACTAGTTTTTCCACCATGATCGTGATTATTGCAAACTTACAATATCAACTATGAAGGAGAAAAGAAAGAAGTGACATGGAGCCACACCCCTTGAGGTTTGAGTATAAAAGAACCTTGTTTTAAATACATACAGAAAATCGCTCGGAGACTGGGTAAGGCGTTGTATTGCCAACAGGACCGACTGAGCTATACATAAGGTTTCTTATTCTGTTTATTTTACAATGACAATTCAATCTTCAGTGCAAAGAACCCATGTTCGTTCTATGTATATCCTTACAAACATTGATCCCAAGTTTAGATACCTAACCTCTCACCCAGCAAATCAAACAGTAGCGCTTGTGGTCTGCGACTAGAGCTAAACTCCTTCACCTGATTTGTGAGATACCGACAGATACCTAGCTACACCGGGTCGAAGGCACAATAACTGGCCCGCCGAAAGGTAGCGGATCCTTCAACTCCATTTCGTAACAAGGCCTAGAATGAGGCCCAGTTGTAAAAGAAAGTTCAACGGCGTCTACGGTTACCTCTTTTGATGCAGTGCATTTGTTTACCAAAATCTTAGACAATCGTCTCGGTGAAACAAAGCGGTGCAGTGCTTTTTATGCGCTTACAAGGCACCTTTGTTTATCATGAGGCACACAGCCGTCATGTGATTGACTTGATTGAGGACATGGCGGAGTTGGTTTGTGATCATCATGCCAGGTGATCATAGTGAAGCTTCTTGTCTTCCAGCTCAGTTCTGCTTGGATGCCGTGGTGTGTTTACAGTTACCCTTGTTTGGTGAATGGAGAATGACTAAGTGGAATGAGTGAGTTAGATGAACAATGGATTCATAATTTGACTTTGTTACCGTTGACTGAACTAAAATCTCTCGTTGGTCTGTTGGATACGATTTGAGGCCGAACTAGCCCAAGGGTCCATAGTGCATAGCTTATATGTGTACTTGTGACTCGTTCACTGCCACAGCCTGCCGTCAGGTGCTACGAGGAAAGATGGCGAACTACTTCGGCCTGGATTGGAGAAAAAAAAAATAGCAAGTGTACTTGCTGGTTTCGGTATATAACAGAATCCCGCGTACCCAAGAAACAATAGTAGTGTATAGCAGTGTTACCATTTACTGAATTTCAACGTGTAAAGGCGATTTTGCGTCACAATGTCATGGGACGATATTCTTGCTGCCTCTGTCTGTTACAAAACCTCGTCTTTATCAATGAGATTGAGACAATCGAGGTCACGGTTTGTTATTCTAGATCAGTGCAGATACTAGTCTGGGTTCAGTGTGACGATAAAAAATGCTTTATGTCGGCTATCGACGGCTTTCTCTCGACTTCATGGAATGGAATTAACCAAAGACAAGTATGTCTTCCGTGAGAAAACACTTCACTGACATTGTCAGGACTGAATCTGAAACTTGATTGGAAGGCTTTTGGGATACGTCCAGTTGACTCCGTGCAAGACTGAGCAGGGTTGAGTAACGGTTATAACGCACTGAACTGTTGAGAGGAAGCTCTGGAGTGACTGCAGCCTGTTCAAAACTTATATTCCCTACACCAAACGCTGCCGGAGTGTAATTTTTTTGACGGACAACAACGGCCGATACTTGTAGAGCAGCATGTGCTTCTTCTCTGACTTTTAATAAAGCTCTATTTCATGTTTGGACTGTATTTTTGAACAAACAGAAGAAGCAAGCGTTGAGAGCCATGTAGGTGACAAAAGCTATTCATAAATTTTGCGTGGAATTAAAGGGATCGGCTAAAGTAAGGTTACGAAAAGATTACAGAAAGGTTACAGAACCGCAACAAAGGGATCTAGTGAAAATGGTGATTCGCTGGCTTTCAGCGCTTAGATAAAATATGTCTGTGAGACAATTATTTTATTCAGCCTTTTTATCGTACTTTTCAGTGATTTTCTGGCGTGTAGAGAATGTCCCGTAACCTCGCTGTAAAGTAATTTACTCGCGCCAAACACCATGATGGCCCTTCGAGGCAACAAGAATTTGTGAGTCCTGTGCCGCTGCTGAGGCAATCAAACAGTTCAGTGCGAAAAATGGCCTTTTGTAAAATATATATATATATATATATATATCAATAATTTCCAAACCACACAACCGTATAACCACACGGTTTTTATTAAAGCGTTAGAGTTTGTGCGATTCATTACAAAGAATCGGGGACAATTTCGCCATTAATATGAGCCTTATGGGTCTGAGTGTGAAGTAAAATGATAAATGTTAATAAACTGTACCTTTTATTTATTTGAGAGGTTAAGGGTTCCCCTACAATTGAACGTGCTTCTTCCGTGACTATTTTAGTAGCTTGAAAACATATTGATTGACTTTTTTTAATGTATGTTTGTGTGTTCCAAACACCTTAGCACTTACCCCTTAAGATAAAGGAATGTTTCTTAGTCGTATTAGCGTTGACAAAATAAAAGTTATTGCAACTTTTTCAGGAGATGAGTAATTACACGAAGGAATTGTAATTCGTATGAAAAGGTATCGGTAACCAGAGAAAAATAGTTTTAAAGCAATTTTAGTAAGGTCTAAATGCATTCAGTTTCTCTTCAACTAAAAAGCCTTGCCAGCAAACAATGAAAAACAATCTAATAAGAAAAAACAATGGGACACCTTTGGAAAACAAAAGTAAACCTGCCAGAAGTCTGCTTGGAAAGGATACAAAACAAGAAGCATGAAGCATTTGATAAGCAGGGAAATTATTGCCTTTCTTCAGCTAAAAATCTCCTCTTGTTACTTAACTTTCATGTGATAAATTTAGTTTTCTTGATATGAGAAATGTTAGTGGGATCTGTAAAGAACTGAATGTGAAAATTCTGGTACCAAAACAAAGTTAAAAATTGATAACAGTTCTCCGGCCCTGCTGTGAAAAGCGAACATTCCACCAGATACGAACTTTCACTGGCGACCCGCCCTTCGGTGTAAGACTAAAACACAACTGTACAGATAACACCAGTAGTTTGTGAACCTCTTAGAAGCTGATACGGAGAAGTAGTGAGTGTCGAAACATTTATAATCTTATTGAAAAAGCCTCAATCTTAGCTATAATCCACGAGTGCTGCTGGTGCTGCAAGTTTCTTTGACGCCTCCACGCCACGTGGTAATTAAGAGTTAGCACTGGTACCGTAAAACTGTAAATCTTCAAGCAATTAAAACGCCGCAAATATAAACAAAGCAAAAACGGAGGGTTTGTTTTAGCTGTCTAGTTGAATTTGTTAAGAGTCGAGTACTTGCTAATTTTGTTAATTTAATGTTCATTAAATGTACTTAGTGTTCATTAACTTCGTTCTATAGCACTGCTAACCACAATTCTTTCTCCATAATGCAACATTTATTTTAAGAATGTGTTAAAAAAAAAAAAAAANATCGCGCTTGCTGTCTGAGCTGGAAGGAAGGAAAGGTGTTTCATCAGCAGCCTTATCATCATTTACCTTGATTGTTTAGTGTTCGGATCCCTCATAACTAAGCACTCCTTCAAGTCACCATACTTGCTGAAGTACGTCTGCAGTCCCTCTAAAACAGACAAGAAATGGACCGTTACGGAACCGTGAACTTAACCACAACCGATTGTTTGAAACGTGACTCATCTCAGCTCATTTTGTCGCCGCAAAAACCAAACTCAATCGCCGAGTTTGGAGAAATATAATGTCCAGCGAATGCACTGGAACACACCGTTTTTACTGAGCTAAACAAATGCCTAACCTGCGGTAGTTTCCCAACTCAAGCCTCCGACGAACATCTTCCTGTTGGAGAAGAACAGACGGCAGATGAAATTTATGCTCACAAAAAATTTGCCCAAGTCACACCATCATTTCGATCGAAAGAAACACGAAGCCGGCTGGCTGAAATTCAGCTAACGGAAGCCAGCAACTTACCCTGGATCGTTCGGGAGGTCGACTTTGGAGGCTCCTGAGGGCTGTGGGCTATCCGCCTCCATTTTCCTACAACTACAACTAAACAAGAGATAGGCCAACGAATACCGACACGTGGATATTATATTCGGATTGGTTCGTGATGGGTGGTAATTTGGCGCCATTTGGATCTGGCACCTATGCTCGTGATTGATTTGAGCTGTGGTCTCTTGTGATTGGTCCACGAAAGTTTCCCTCACGACGCCGTTAGAAGCCATCATTGAAGTGACACATGTTAGAATGAGTCCCGCCTTTCTCTTTGTCCTGTACCAAGCCTGCCGAGTCTTCCATCCTTTCATTGGATTATAGTAATGAGACCCTTGAGAAACTGCCAATCAATTTGACAGCTGATTCGCAACGAAAGACGAATAAATTACCTCTGCAGACTAAGGACTTGGTTCTTTATCTTGCAAATTTTCAGTTCGAGGGGTCGCTCTAAGGACAATGAAGTCTGCATTAATTCGAGCTGCCGAATTTCGTCTCCATTTGACAGCACATAACGCGATCGCAACCAAGAACCGATTGCCAAAATTTGACGTCTGAACGACGTTAAATTAAAATAGTGTTTTGCAGATCTCCTGATTAAAACTTTCATGAGAAGGGCAAAATAAGCAATTTTGTTTACATTCTATATGTAAACACAGTGACACAAAGAAAACCCCAGGTGAAAAGGCATAAGATTTTGTTCTATTTTAGTGAAACTGGACATGAAGCAGTCTCTTACAGGTACCACGGGGTCACCTTATAAATGACTACTGCCAGAAGTGTCTGGGACTTATTTTATTCGCTATTCAAGGGAACTTAGTTTACAAGAAAAAAGTGAGAAAATACATTGTCAGTAACTTTGCGGGACAAAACATACAACGTCAACATAAAAACACTCTAGACTAGAGCGCGTAATTATTCTCTTGTGACAAGGGCCTTATTGTCACACAACCCAATAACAACATTATCTATTCACATAACGTGGTTTACTGGGAAAAATGAAGCCACCATAAATGAAAAAAGAGCATTCCAGGAGACTGTTGTCGGTTTGTAGACCTTGAGTGAAATCTCAATCGCTGCTGCTTGGTGCACCCGACATCTCCATGATCCAAACCTGCTGTCTCATTCACGCCCGCTTCCTATGTGTAATATCTCTCAGGCGTTCCCGAATGATTAGCTCTTCAACGGGGTTTCATCATAAACTTTGTGCTGAGTATATTTCCTCGACCGTCGTAAAGGACTAGATAAGAATAGGGTTTTTTTTTTTGAACCAGTAAAAAGCGTCTAAACACGCTGACTTATGCAGTTTCACGCCTCGACAGAGCATAAGTTGTTGTTCAACTACAATAGTAGACATCCCTTTCTGGGAGCTCACAAATGAATATGAAAGGATCTTAATTGGGCCTCTGAACTGGGGTTTTTTTCACTCGATAGTTGCTCTTCAAAACCGACGGGGCGGGAAAGATTTAATTGAGCATATAAATGACAATGCAAACTCGCAACTGGTGGAAAGGTTGAATTTCCGAACCCTCAAGTACAGATGTTATTTATCCAGCTTGTGGTGTGTAGCGTTTACACTCTCCAAGGTAAAGCTGTTGATGGCGGTAACTTATGTGCAGAAAAATTCTTCTTTGTTTTATATTGTCGTCACACTGGTTTTCACAGTTGGTGATACAAACCAAGATATCACCACTGAACAAGAAACTGCTGAGGAACTGATCGAGGAATGCTAATGATCAGCTGGAACTGTGGCGGACCAAAGGATTGGTTATGCTCTGTACAAATTTTATAACTTTTAGTTGTGGGTTTAAGTGGAAAGCGCAAAATAAAGTTTTGAAGGTTTGGTTTTCCTCAGTGGTCTTTCACAACAGATGACGCACACCGAATTTAGCTGGAACAGCCACTGCGATGCTCCGGCAGTGGCGTGGCTTTTTGACAGTGGCTTGCCCTTAGTTTTTTTTACTTTAAAGTTCCTTATTTTTTTCTTTATCAAAATATCAATGAAGACTGCCCTGACACTTCTGATTTCAAAATAGAATTCAGGAAATCTTATGTAAACAAATATGGTTCATATCTCACGCAAAGATGGCTGCTATTTTAGTGACTGTTGTATTCTTGTTCGAGATGTTTTAGTTCCATTAAAAACCCACAGTCCCGGCTTTCACGATCGTTCGTCTACCCTTGCTCTCTCATGCTCCAAACATGCGAGATAGCTGTTGCGTATGCTTTGAAGTCGTGTACTAGTTTTTCCACCATGATCGTGATTATTGCAAACTTACAATATCAACTATGAAGGAGAAAAGAAAGAAGTGACATGGAGCCACACCCCTTGAGGTTTGAGTATAAAAGAACCTTGTTTTAAATACATACAGAAAATCGCTCGGAGACTGGGTAAGGCGTTGTATTGCCAACAGGACCGACTGAGCTATACATAAGGTTTCTTATTCTGTTTATTTTACAATGACAATTCAATCTTCAGTGCAAAGAACCCATGTTCGTTCTATGTATATCCTTACAAACATTGATCCCAAGTTTAGATACCTAACCTCTCACCCAGCAAATCAAACAGTAGCGCTTGTGGTCTGCGACTAGAGCTAAACTCCTTCACCTGATTTGTGAGATACCGACAGATACCTAGCTACACCGGGTCGAAGGCACAATAACTGGCCCGCCGAAAGGTAGCGGATCCTTCAACTCCATTTCGTAACAAGGCCTAGAATGAGGCCCAGTTGTAAAAGAAAGTTCAACGGCGTCTACGGTTACCTCTTTTGATGCAGTGCATTTGTTTACCAAAATCTTAGACAATCGTCTCGGTGAAACAAAGCGGTGCAGTGCTTTTTATGCGCTTACAAGGCACCTTTGTTTATCATGAGGCACACAGCCGTCATGTGATTGACTTGATTGAGGACATGGCGGAGTTGGTTTGTGATCATCATGCCAGGTGATCATAGTGAAGCTTCTTGTCTTCCAGCTCAGTTCTGCTTGGATGCCGTGGTGTGTTTACAGTTACCCTTGTTTGGTGAATGGAGAATGACTAAGTGGAATGAGTGAGTTAGATGAACAATGGATTCATAATTTGACTTTGTTACCGTTGACTGAACTAAAATCTCTCGTTGGTCTGTTGGATACGATTTGAGGCCGAACTAGCCCAAGGGTCCATAGTGCATAGCTTATATGTGTACTTGTGACTCGTTCACTGCCACAGCCTGCCGTCAGGTGCTACGAGGAAAGATGGCGAACTACTTCGGCCTGGATTGGAGAAAAAAAAAATAGCAAGTGTACTTGCTGGTTTCGGTATATAACAGAATCCCGCGTACCCAAGAAACAATAGTAGTGTATAGCAGTGTTACCATTTACTGAATTTCAACGTGTAAAGGCGATTTTGCGTCACAATGTCATGGGACGATATTCTTGCTGCCTCTGTCTGTTACAAAACCTCGTCTTTATCAATGAGATTGAGACAATCGAGGTCACGGTTTGTTATTCTAGATCAGTGCAGATACTAGTCTGGGTTCAGTGTGACGATAAAAAATGCTTTATGTCGGCTATCGACGGCTTTCTCTCGACTTCATGGAATGGAATTAACCAAAGACAAGTATGTCTTCCGTGAGAAAACACTTCACTGACATTGTCAGGACTGAATCTGAAACTTGATTGGAAGGCTTTTGGGATACGTCCAGTTGACTCCGTGCAAGACTGAGCAGGGTTGAGTAACGGTTATAACGCACTGAACTGTTGAGAGGAAGCTCTGGAGTGACTGCAGCCTGTTCAAAACTTATATTCCCTACACCAAACGCTGCCGGAGTGTAATTTTTTTGACGGACAACAACGGCCGATACTTGTAGAGCAGCATGTGCTTCTTCTCTGACTTTTAATAAAGCTCTATTTCATGTTTGGACTGTATTTTTGAACAAACAGAAGAAGCAAGCGTTGAGAGCCATGTAGGTGACAAAAGCTATTCATAAATTTTGCGTGGAATTAAAGGGATCGGCTAAAGTAAGGTTACGAAAAGATTACAGAAAGGTTACAGAACCGCAACAAAGGGATCTAGTGAAAATGGTGATTCGCTGGCTTTCAGCGCTTAGATAAAATATGTCTGTGAGACAATTATTTTATTCAGCCTTTTTATCGTACTTTTCAGTGATTTTCTGGCGTGTAGAGAATGTCCCGTAACCTCGCTGTAAAGTAATTTACTCGCGCCAAACACCATGATGGCCCTTCGAGGCAACAAGAATTTGTGAGTCCTGTGCCGCTGCTGAGGCAATCAAACAGTTCAGTGCGAAAAATGGCCTTTTGTAAAATATATATATATATATATATATATCAATAATTTCCAAACCACACAACCGTATAACCACACGGTTTTTATTAAAGCGTTAGAGTTTGTGCGATTCATTACAAAGAATCGGGGACAATTTCGCCATTAATATGAGCCTTATGGGTCTGAGTGTGAAGTAAAATGATAAATGTTAATAAACTGTACCTTTTATTTATTTGAGAGGTTAAGGGTTCCCCTACAATTGAACGTGCTTCTTCCGTGACTATTTTAGTAGCTTGAAAACATATTGATTGACTTTTTTTAATGTATGTTTGTGTGTTCCAAACACCTTAGCACTTACCCCTTAAGATAAAGGAATGTTTCTTAGTCGTATTAGCGTTGACAAAATAAAAGTTATTGCAACTTTTTCAGGAGATGAGTAATTACACGAAGGAATTGTAATTCGTATGAAAAGGTATCGGTAACCAGAGAAAAATAGTTTTAAAGCAATTTTAGTAAGGTCTAAATGCATTCAGTTTCTCTTCAACTAAAAAGCCTTGCCAGCAAACAATGAAAAACAATCTAATAAGAAAAAACAATGGGACACCTTTGGAAAACAAAAGTAAACCTGCCAGAAGTCTGCTTGGAAAGGATACAAAACAAGAAGCATGAAGCATTTGATAAGCAGGGAAATTATTGCCTTTCTTCAGCTAAAAATCTCCTCTTGTTACTTAACTTTCATGTGATAAATTTAGTTTTCTTGATATGAGAAATGTTAGTGGGATCTGTAAAGAACTGAATGTGAAAATTCTGGTACCAAAACAAAGTTAAAAATTGATAACAGTTCTCCGGCCCTGCTGTGAAAAGCGAACATTCCACCAGATACGAACTTTCACTGGCGACCCGCCCTTCGGTGTAAGACTAAAACACAACTGTACAGA